CTATTCAGGAGGCTGAGGCAAGAGAATTGCCTAAGCCCAGGAGTTGGAGGTGGCTGTGAGCTGTGATGCCATGGCACTTTACCAAGGGTGGTAAAGTGAGACTCTGTCTCCATAAGAAAACAAAAAAAACCCCCAAATACCCCTAAGATACAAACATGCACAGTAGCCTGGGCCACCCCAGCTCATCAACATCACTGTCTTAGAATGCAATGACATGCAGGGCGCTGTTGTCTTCTGTGATAACACTGCTTCTTCTGGACTATCTCCTGAAGGACCTGCCTGGAGCTGTTTTATGGTTGCCTTTTACAGACACCAGGCTGGAGTGCCCTGGTCTCAGTCCAGCTCACAGCAACCTCAAACTGTAAGGCTCAAGCAATCCTCTTGCCCCAGCCTCCCAAGTAGTTGGGACTCCAAGTGCCCACTACAACACCCAGCTAATTTTTCCTTTTTTTTTTATTTTAGTAGAAATGAGGGTCTTGCTCTTACTCAGGCTGGTTTCCAAATCTGAGCTCAAGTGATCCTCTTGCCTTGGCCTCCCAGAGAGCTAGGATTATAGGCATGAGCCACTGCACACAGCCTTTTTTTCTATAAGTAGAGGAGTATAGTCTAAAATAATGATAATCAGTAAAGACAAACTGGTAACATAGTTGTTTGTAATCATAATTTGCATAATTAATATCATTACTATGCCTAATTATTACATTCTGCATAATCGTGCATGTTGACTTTTACACAACTGGCAGCACAGTAGGTGGGCTCACTCCAGCATCACCACAACATCATGGGTAGGGCACTGAGCTATGACATTACAAGAGCTGTGTCATTAGGTGATAGGAATTTTTCAGATCTGTTATAATCTTACGGGATTATTGTTGTTAGATGAGGTCCATCATTGATCAAAATTTCATTATTTAGAGCATGACTGTATGTGTATATATGTACAATGTATGTACATATGTATATTTAGTGTGTATGTATATGAATGTGTATATATATGTGTACATGTGTATTTTTTTTTTAATTTGAGACAGAGTCTCACTCTGTCACCCTGGGTAGAGTGCCATGGCATCATAGTTCACAGCAACCTCAGACTCTCTCCAGCTTGAGTGATCCTCTTGTCTCAGTCTCCCAAGTAGCTGTGAGTACGGGAGCCTACCACAATTCCCTGCTAGATTTTCTTATTTTAGTAGAGATGGGATCTCACTCTTGCTCAGGCTGGTCTGGAACTCCTGCGCTCAGGTAATCCACTCGCCTCTGTGAGTGCTGGGATTACAGGTGTGAGCCACCACACCCAGCCCCTGTATTTGTATACATATGTATTTGTGCCCATGTGCACACACACACGTGTATATGTGTATATACAAATGTGTATATGTGTATATTGTATCTACAGAGGGTGCCAAAAAAGTGCACACATTTTAAGAAAGAAAAAACTGTATTAAGTTTGTAAGTAATATGCAAGTCACGTTGGACTTCTGTAATTATAAGAGATGCTCACCATGACTTGTATTTATTTTTTGTTAGCAGTATATATGTCACAATTTTAATAGTTTAAAATGTGTATACATTTTTCACCCTCTCTACATTCATCTACGTGTGTGTATATTTGTGTATATACGAACATGTATGTATCTGTGTATATATTATACATGTGTGTATGTAGTGTGCTGCATATATGCATTTATATATTATATGGTGTGTATGTGGTATGTTTGTACAGGCATACACGTACCCTGTATATCCGCATGTGTGCATGTGTGTATATCGCACATATCCGACATTGTGTTTATTTGCTTTATGGAACCTTCTTTACGGAGCTTTCCTCTGTCCTACTGTGCCAGGAAGCCAAGGCGAGGCTGCATTGTAGTCCTCTCTGTCATGCCATTTGTGTATTAACGTTTTTGATTTTGTTGTTTGGTTCTACAGAATTTAACAATTTAAGTAAAACAAAAGCAAGATGTTCTTTTAAACAGATAAAGGTGAAGGGGAGACTTGTTCTGAGTCCTGACTTCTAGGGAAGCTGGTCTTCCTGGGATGAAATTGCACACACAAGGACTTAGCTACCAAGCCACCACATGTAGAGAAGTTCCTCCTTTATCTTTCCACCATTCCTAGAAAGGAGTAGTCAGCTGCTCCTGGTAGGGGTGGGAGTGGGTGAGGCAGGGAGCGAACTGGGGACAGGAGTGCGAACTCAAGGGTGAGGTGGGCAGGGAGCAGCTGGGGACAGGAGTGCGAGCTCAGGGGTGAGGTGGGCAGGGAGCAGCTGGGGACAGGAGTCAGAGCTCAGGGGTGAGGTGAGCAGGGAGCAGCTAGGGACAGGAGTCCGAGAGAGCTTGTTTCTCACCAGCCTCCAGCTGGGTTAAGTTCACCTACAGTTTGGGTTAGACCTGTCTGTTGCCTTTCCAAACTGACATTATCCTCACAAAGTCTGATCTGAGCACAGCATGTTATTAAGGCAGGGACTGAATAAGTATAATCTTTTATAGATTACACAGAAATTAGAATGTGAAGTCTTCCCGTGAGATTCCTAGTTGGATCATGGGATTTTTGCCTGCAGCTGTTATTTAGAAGGCCACTATGGAGCAGCGCCTGTGGCTCAAAGGAGTAGGGCCTCTGGCCCCATATACCAGAGGTGGCAGGTTCAAACCTGGCAAAAAAAAAAAAAAGAATGCCACCATATCACTCTTAATAATCCCTTATCTTGATACGAAACTAAGTGATGGAGGCTCTAAGAGGTATTCCCACTGATGTAAAGGACACTGATTTTCCTATTATTTGTATGCACATTAATGCATTCCAGCTGGTATGAAATCAGTGCTTTCCTCCTGAGAAGAACGTGGCTCAGGTTACTTCCATTCACTGGTATTTTTTGAGGCCTTCCTACCCCCCCCATGTAGGGAATAGGACAAAAGCCCTGTTCTTTAGAGCTGACGTTCCAAAGAGGAAAGAAAAAAATAACCACAAGGAAATTACTAACTAATCCCAAGAAGTGATAAGTGGTGTGCAGCCAGGAGGGGATGGGAAGATAAGAAGGACTTGGAGAGCGCTGGGGCGGGAGGGAGGGACGGCGGGAGCGCTGCCTGTGCCCTCCGACCCCTCCGACTGGGGACCTGGGCGGTGGGAGAGGGGCAGGCAGAAGTCCTGGGGCAAAGCCTCGGAAGCTGGAAGTGCGGGCTCTGTGCCTTTGGGAAAACAGGGAGAGAAGAGGGGTGCCAGAAGGCAGGGAGCGAGGAGGCCACCACAGGGCCTGAAGTCAGAGGGTCCCTGGTGCCCACGCAGGCGCTTGCCTTGGCTTTCCAAAGCCTTGAGGACCCAGGAGGGTTCCGAGCAGAGGGAACAGGGTCGCCTGGCTTCAGCGTGGAGGCGCCTGCTTGGGGGCACCTCTTCAGAAACCTGCGAGTGGAGGGGGTGCCCCAGCACCCGCGCTGCGGGAGCGACGGGTCAGGTGCAGGTGTGAAGAGTTTCCTTACCCCTCACCAGGAGCAGGAGAGGCCAGTGGGAGTGCTGACGTCCTCTGTCTACGGGAAGCGCATCCATCAGCCCATCGAGCCGCTGAGCCGCGACCACCGCCGCGCCAACCACCTGCGCGCTGACTTCTACCGGAAGAACGACATCCCCAGCCTCCGGGCGCCCAGCTTCGGGCACATCGCTCCGGCCTGAAGCGATCCCGGGCCCGAGGGCGTGTCTGTGCGGCAACTCAGGCGGCACAGAGCGGGGACGGCCTCGAGCCTTTCCCGTTTTCCTCAGGGCAGTAGCAGTAGTGGGATAATGACCTTGGGAAGGACAAACTGAGCAGCTTCCCCTTGTTAAGAACCTGGCTTTAGTGTATAGTAAGAATAGCTACTGTAATGGCTTTCACCTGCAATTATGTCAGATTAAACGATCCTGGCGACTGAGTCAGTGTGAGCACCTGAATAAAACGGACACTTTGTTCCCACTTCATAATGGTCGGGTTGGTTTTGTTCACTGGCTCTGCATTTGTGAGGATCTTACGGGCGCCTTGGCCGGTTACTTTTCTAAACAGTTATGGAAAGAAACTGCTGCCTCCGGCTGCACGAACAACCTGTACACGTCTCTGTCCCCAGGCAGGATGCAGTCAGAATTGCCTTTTGACACAACTGAACTCTAGATACTACATTTTTGTTTTTCCAGAGGTCTGAGCCACAAATTAACAGAAATTTGCACAACTCGGGACAAAAACCCTAGTAAGAAAGGGGTGGCCTCCAGGGACCAACCAGCGACCTGGCTGTGACTCCTCGAGGGAGAAGCAGCAGAGGGTCACAGGATGAGACTGGACCCTGGTATCCAAGAGCCCTGTGTAAAGCTCTGGCGCCGGCCTTTTCTCCTCCTGTGGACTTAGGGCAAGTCATTTCCTGTATCTGAGCTGACACTGCCTTACCTTTGCAGTGGAACTTCCATACCTGGAGTGTTTGAGTGGGATCAGTGAGTGCACGCAGAACACAGACACAATACCCACACACCCTGCCAGCTCACTTTTAAGCTGACTTGTAAATGTGTACTTTGGAGATAATTTGAAACTTATTCATGTATTAAGACATCAACTATGTTCTTAAGGAATGGGTCCTTTGGAAGAAACCATCTCATCTACCATGCTTAAATTTCCCACAGTTTAGCAGTGATTGGGCAGGTGATCTAATTAATTTCAATGCTGACTCCTCTAGGACCGGTTTTATTGTTTTATGTCTGTGAGGAGGACTCTCCAAACAATTTCAAGGCTGAGTGACTCCTAAATATTTCTTTAAAAAGAAAAAAACAAATTTTCAGGACGGATGCCTTTTATTTTATTTTTTCAAACAAATAGCAGTAGTTTATTTGGAATACCTTTGAATGTATCATATCATATTTATAATAACATAGTAGAAATTATATAAAGTTTGGGTTATAGAAATTTTTATAAATTACTCTTTCTTCGGTCTTGATTTCAACAAAGCCAAGGCATCTGTGACTGCAATAAATTAACATCAAAGTAAATTACTTTCCTTTACCTTAACTCAGATCCTACTCCTTGACCTTCTGTAATATACTTAATTTTAAAAAGCAGGGTTGAAATAGGGAAAGGTTTCAAAAGATAATCATATTTCTTAGGCAATAAATGAAAATTAAATGTATTTCCCCTGGCATCCCGCCTTTTACAATTTGAAGCCAATAAACGAATACTTGTTAAAGTCATCCTCTAAAAGAGAACATCTTCTAAATATAATATATTTTTTAGAGATTGGGGTCTTGAACTTCTGGCTTCCAAACATCCTTTTGCT